TTCCAGACTTGGTGCATCGGTACTGCTTGCCGTGTGGTAGCAGAGAGAACAGTCTATGACGGGTGGCTGGAGCCTTTGGCAATTTTTAGGGCCTTCCTCTGATACTGCCTGGTATAGAGGTCCTGGATGGCAGGGAGCTCGGCCCCAGTGATGTTCTGGGCCATCCGCACTACCCTCTGTAGTGCCTTGCTGTCGGATGCCAAGCAGTTGCCATACCAAGCGGTGATGCAGCCAGTCAAGATGCTCTCAATGGTGCAGCTGTAGACATTTTTGAGGATCTGAGGGCCCAAGCCAAATCTTTTCAGCCTCCTGAGGGGGAAGAGGCATTGTCATGCCTTCTTCACGACTTTGTTGGTGTGTTTGGACCGTGATAGATCCTTAGTGATATGGACACCGAGGAACGTTGATGTGAATGGGGGTGTGCTTGGTCGTCCGTTTCCTGTAGTCCACAATCAGTTCCTTTGTCTTGCTGACATTGAGGGAGAGGTTGTTGTCCTGGCACCACACTGCAAGGTCTCTGACCTCCTCCCTATAGGCAGTCTCATCATCGTCTGTGATCAGCCCTACCACCGTCGTGTCATCAGCAAACTTAATGATGGTGTTGGAGTCGTGCGTGTCCATGCAGTTGTGAGTGAACAGGGAGTACAGGAGGGGACTAAGCATGCACCCCTGAGGGCCCCCGTGTTGAGGGTCAGCGGTGCGTATGTGTTGTTGCCTACCATCACCACCTTCGGGCGGCCCGTCAGGAAGTCCAGGATCCAGTTGCAGAGGGAGGTGTTCAGTCCCAGGCTCCTTAGTGATGAGCTTGGAGGGCACTATGATGTTGAACCCTGAGTTGTCAATGAGCAGCATTCTCACATAGGTGTTCCTCTTGTCCAGGTGGGAGAGGGCAGTGTGGAGTGCAATATAAATTGTGCCATCTGTGGATCTGTTAGGGCGGTATGCGAAATGGAGTTGGTCCAGGGTGTCTGGGATGATGGTGTTGATGTGAGCCATGACCAGCCTTTCAAAGCATTTCATGGCTACAGATGTGAGTGCTACAGTGCGATAGTCATTTAGACAGGTTACCTTGGCTTCTTGGGCACAGGAACTATGGTGGTCTGCTTGAAACATGTAGGTATTACAGACTGGGTCAGGGAGAGGTTGAAAATGTCAGGGAAGACACTTGCCAGCTGGTCAGCGCAAGCGCTGAGTATGCATCCTGGTAATCCTTGTGAATGTTTACCTGTTTAAAGGTCTTACTGACATCGGCTTTGGAGATTGAAAAACCGCCTGAAATTTCAGCCTGTTTTGGTGGCAGGGAGTTTTGGCCTTCCATGGTGACATCACCATGTGGTAAATTAGTTAATTGACTAAAAAGAAAGAGAGTTTCAAACCTCTCTGCCAGTTTTCCCCTCCCCACACAAACCACTCCCAGACAGTCCTAGCAAAATTATTGCTTGAGAAATTGCTCTTCGCTAAGAAGCCTTTTTTGTTTGTTTTTACGATTTTAATTGAAAATTATTACAGTATGGTTACCTAGAAATGATTTGATATTGAGATAAAAATGGCTGAATTGGACCTTTAAAGTTAAGTATTATAGCACCATTTATTTTGGTTTCATACTGTGTGTCCACAGACTGCTCTAGAGGCCATGGTGAGGACAGAGACAGAGACAGCCTGCCTCCTAGCAGACTGCCCCAGTCCCACACAGACACGCTGGCCCTAGCAGAGGAGCTATCAGGGGCCCTGCCACGACTGGCAGACACACCGAGGCGCAAAGACACCCCCTACCAGCACCAGCCTACCTTCACTCCAGGTAAGGACCTCACAGCAACACACTGTACCTGATATGAAAGGCTATAGTCAAGTTGAACTGGACTGTAGCTTATGTGGAAGGCTACAGTCAAATAATGTGGGCCTGGCACAGGGTCGTGTTGTTTCCTTTACAGAACATGTAAAGCTGCAGATACAGCTCACCACTGTGGTTTAGGTTGTGAGGGTGAATGAGTTCACACTGTCAAATCTAGTGGGTCACACATACTGTACTGTCAACAACTTGCGGCTTGATGTTGGTCATAGTTAATCGATATAGACTAAAGTGCTAAAAGATCTCCGTACACATGGATGTCTTCTCTGTGCTGTTGATTAGCTGCAGGGAGGAGTGTTCCAGCCACCTTAACTAACAGATGGTCTGGTCACAGGACAGATTACATTTGACCGCTGTATTGACATAAACAGCATCATACTTACACACACGCATACACACATCAACATCCTCTGTAGCGTATTAGGGCCTTTCTAATCAACCTGGCCCGGGTATCCTGGATGGATATTGACCTCATTCCGTCAGTAGAGGATGCCTGGATGTTCTTCAAAAGTGCTTTCTGTTATATCTAGCCTAGCTGTAGAAGAACGCACATCTGCACAGTTTCACATTGTACATCACTCTGTCGTTTAATGACATGTGCCACTCATTCTGACAACCCATTAATCCGTAAAGCAGCACACTGTCGTAAACCATAACAACGTACAGTACGACGTACAGCACGTCGTACCATACATAACACTTTCCTCTCCATCTTAAATAAGCATGCCCCATTCAAAAAATTCAGAACTAAGAACAGATATAGCCCCTGGTTCACCCCAGACTTGACTGCTCTTGACCAGCACAAAAACATCCTGTGGTGTACTGCATTAGCATCGAACAGCCCCCGCGATATGCAACTTTTCAGGGAAGTCAGGAACCAATATACACAATCAGTTAGGAAAGCAAAGGCTAGCTTTTTCAAACAGAAATTTGCATCCTGTAGCACTAACTCCAAAAAGTTTTGGGACACTGTAAAGTCCATGGAGAATAAAAGCACCTCCTCCCAGCTACCCACTGCACTGAGGCTAGGAAACACTGTCACCACCGATAAATCTACGATAATCGAGAATTTCAATAAGCATTTTGCTACGGCTGGCCATGCTTTCCACCTGGCTACCCCTACCCCGGCCACCAGCTCTGCACCCTCCGCTGCAACTTGCCCATGCCCATTCCTTTCAGTTCTCTGCTGCAAATGACTAGAACAAACTACAAAAATCTCTGAAGCTGGAGATACTTATCTCCCTCATTAACTTTAAGCATCAGTTGTCAGAGCAGCTTACCGATCACTGCACCTGTACACAGCCCATCTGTAATTAGCCCATCTGTAATTAGCCCACCCAACTACCTCATCCCCATATTGTTATTTACATTGTTATTTATTTTGCTCATTTGCACCCCAGTATCTCTATTTGCACATCATCTTCTGCACATCTATCACTCCAGTGTTAATACTAAATTGTAATTATTTTGCACTATGGCCTATTTATTGCCATACCTCCATAACTTACTACATTTGCACACACTGTATATAGATTTTCTGTTTTATATTGTGTTATTGACTGTACATTTTTGTTTATTCCATATGTAACTCTGTGTTGTTGTTGTTTTTATCGCACTGCTTTGCTTTATCTTGGCCAGGTCGCAGTTGTAAATGAGAACTTGTTCTCAACTGGCTTACCTGGTTAAATAAAGGTGAAATAAAAAATATATAAAAAAATTAGATCAGGACACAGTGTGTGTCTGTGTGAGGAGCTGTTAGAACATACTGCAAGTCTTTCTTAGTTATTGATATCTCTGATATGACTCCAGACAGTCTGCCACATTACCCATGACCCTCCAGCACTCTGTCTGTCCAATTCCCAGTGGTCAAGCTGCTCAAGAGCAAATCAAAGGTCTCCTTCCCTGAGGAGGAGGAAGAGAAGGAGGAGGAGGAGGAGACAGAGGAGGAGGAGGAAGAGAAGGAGGATGAAGATACCAAGAAGAAGTAGGATCCAAAGTGAAGCATGAGGAGCAGACAACTGTTGGCCATGTTTCTGATGGTTCAAACACATGAATGGGTAATGAACTCTTGGTAAGAGATGATGCTAAACTTTATCAGGTTATAATTTCTAACCAGGGAATCAACTTTATTCAGCCATGCATTGTTGAGATCAAGAAAGGACAATGTCATTCATTTCTCTGTACTGTATCTCAAACTCTTAGTTGGTTATGTATGGTTAAGTATTATTAGATATTGTAATAAGAGAGTATATATGAGACATTTTAACAGCAATACTGACTGTTATGCAGTGAAATTATATCTGGACATTTTTGTTTTTGTTTTCTTTAAACAGAAAATAACATAATACTTCTCATTGTGTCAGTATCATCATGTAAAAACAATTGCTGATATTTCACATAGATTGACTTCATATTTTTTTAGTATTTTATACTGAAACTGGGCTTGGTATGAATTGTTAGACTTGTGTACCACTCTAAGGTACTGCACAAACAAAGGAGTCCTACAAACAAATGTTTTGCTCACTGGTGTTTTGGAGTGTCTGAGTCCTATCATATGTAGGGCTGATGCATTGCAGATGTGACCAAATAATACAATTCATTATTGAATGAAATGTTGGCAAAACCTGTACATTTCGGATGTCTAATGCATTATGGACATATAGTGGAGCAGAGAAAGATCACCTGCAAATAATATCAATTGTAAAACCCTCTCCTCTCAATGTCAGGCAGGATTATTTTAGTAGGCTAATTGTTATCTCAGCAAATTAATTATGGGAAGATTTCATAACACAAAATAAAATATTTTACCCCTACATGTAGTCAGTGTATTTCTTGTATCAAATAGAGAGGGTGTATGTCAACTACATCACAAGGGGAAAGGAATGCAACAGCATCCCCAAGTGGGTAATATTAGGCACTGCACAACCAATCATGCTCTTATATGGTAGTGTGGGTAACTGTGGGCAAGGCACATTAAAAGCCACCATTCCAGTATTACTCTAGGGTCAAATATGTTTGTCTAGCATGAGATCAACAGAGAACACACACTGTTGCAATTAAGTATCGTGATCGTCCTAGTGTACCATACAAACCCATCTGAAAGAGAAGAGAGTTATTAAAGAGGGAATGAATATAGACAAAAACTACTTGCGGTGCAAAGAGGAGCAAGAAGACCCCTATCTTTAATAAATAACAATACAATAATAGACTGAAAATGAAATAAATCAGAACAAATGTACAATAAATACGATGAATCAGGAAGTGGCAACGTTGTTGGGTAGCTTATCAGAATCAAGGGCTCTGAAGAGACTCCTCCCCCGACTCAAGGACTGCCCCGGGGCCTTCTCCTGCAAACAACAACAGTTTCCATGACAACACAGCATCACACAGCTGTAACCTTGACAACCCTCCACTCCGCAGTCACAGATCGTCGTGACTGACAATTGTCGTGACTGACAATACGATTATAGAGATGAGAGAAATACTACATAGCTATAACCTACTGACAGGACACAGAATTGTAAAAAGTCATGACATTACTTGGTGTACTGTGTTGTGTTCTGTTACGTTGCACTACATTATGTTGCATTGTTGTATCGTATTGTACATCGTATCATATATTGTGTTGTATATTGTATTGTATATTGTGTCGTATATCGTATTGTATATCGTACCATATCATATTGTATCATGTCATATTGTACCGTATCATATCGCTAGCTAACATTCCTACCGTTCCATGGTAGGCATTCAGGAGAGATGGAGTCAGGTGATCTTGTCTCTTTATCCTCACATGGAGACAGAGGACTGTGAGGATGGTTGTCCAGCTCTGAGTCCTCCTGGGAAGAGTTATTGGAGTTTGTGTTGTTCATCAGTTCATTGAAGGGCTCTGATTGGAGCTCCTGGCTGTGTCTCTCAGGGCTGGTGTGAGTCAACGTAACCCCTGTGTTCATCTGGGACTCCTCCTCCTCTGGGTCAGTGTTCAACTCAGCTCGCTCTTTACTCGCCAATTCTGAGGAAACAAGATAACACAAGCAAAGAGAACATCTACTGTCATACATAGTCTTCTGACAATGGAAGGAACATAGAACACTGAAAGAAGGAAAGGTATTAATTATCCCGAGTGGCGCAGTGGTCTAAGGCACTGCATCGCAGTGCTAGCTGTGCCACTAGAGATCCTGGTTCGAATCTAGGCTCTGTCGTAGCCGGCCGCAACCGGGAGACCCATGGGGCGGCGCACAATTGGCCCAGCGTTGTCCAGGGTAGGGGAGGGAATGGCCGGCAGGGATGTAGCTCAGTTGGTAGAGCATGGCGTTTGCAACGCCAGGGTTGTGGGTTCGATTCCCACGGGGGGCCAGTATGAAAAATAAAAAAATAATGTATGCACTCACTAACTGTAAGTCGCTCTGGATAAGAGCGTCTGCTAAATGACTCAAATGTAAATGTAATTCAGGTGACTAAAGAAGAAGAAGAAGACTACTATACCGTGGACAGAGAGCTCCTTCCATCGATCTTTGTTGTGTTGGATGACCTCTGCCAGTGTGTGTCTGACCCGTTTCAGGTTGATGCCAGTCAGGCTATAGTCTGTAGCGAGACCCTGGTCAACCCCCTGGCTGGATCCTCGGCCACTGTGTTTCTGGACTGACTCCACCACCGTCACCGACCCACTACCCGTCAAACTGAGCAACATAGTATAGAAACTCTGTCAAATTACGTCTATTCTGTCAAATATATGACACCAACTCCTTGTGAGGCTGTCCTAAAATGGACATCAATTAAATAGAACAGAAAACACTGGAGTAATACTTGGTTGCTTACTCCACAGCTTCGATCGACCATAGAGATTGAAGATCGAGAATGTGGTAAGCCTACTGATGATACTGGTAGGCATTTTGAATGTTAAACTGGGAAAACTGAGTGTATAATATTAGGAATGTGTCCCACCTTGACCTGCGGACGCCAGTGTCGTGTGACTTTAAGGTATCCTCTATTAGAGGGGTAATGATCTTCTCTGTCGTGTCCACCAACACAGAGAATGTGGGTTCCACTATGAAGTCAATGAACCCTGCGAGACAGACAACCATTTGAGAAGAAAAACGGGCATGACTCGCTCACACTGACGATTGTACTTTTTGGAGAAACAGGAGAAAAACGATGTGTGTGATGTTACAGTAACAGCAATATATGAGGACAGACAGTGTAGAGTCCCATGCTTTATCATATAAAGGGAAAAATATAAAATACTTTCTCAAATGTCCACATGGTGGCCCATTTGAGCTATGGCCTGTCGGAGTATACAAACCTATGCTGAATGAAACAGCTCACAGTGAGGCCAATAACAGGGTGTGACGCTCACCTATTTGTGACTGTGCAATCATTGTAGCTTTACGATCACACAGAGGAGAGAATGGCAGCCCTAACTCAACCTCCTTATCGCCCTGTAAGAAAACAACAACACTGTATACTGTAGCATGATGTACTACAATACCCATAATGCTCTGTATAACATAACCAGTTTATCCGAGTGAAGATATTCCTGAAGCTATCAGAATGGTGTCCCATCTCCTTAACAATACAGGTGTCAGAAGTGGGATACATACAGAATACAGTGCTGAAACACTCAAGTTTCTCTCTTCCATGGTTTCTGTCAGTGACTATGCACTGTAGCAGTGGGACTGTTTGTACTGTACCTGTCTGAAGAACTCCTCCATCAGGGCCTGTGTCCATCGGTAGTGCAGCTTCCAGGCCTTGGCTGGGTGGCTGATGTCAGCTGCATGCAGCATCAGAGATAAGGCTTTAGCCTTGTCTACTCTGTAGATACAACAGTATATCAGCTAACACACAAAATGATACACTGAGACAGAGTGACACACACACACACACACACGTAGGATTGAGGGCACGTTCCAGGGCGCGTTCTCAGAGCATACGCAGAACAGCTGGCAGGCATATTCACAGTCATTTTCAACCTCTCCTTGTCCCAGTCTGTAATCCCCACATGTTTTAAGATGACCACAATCATCCTTGTTCCTAAGATCTCTAAGGCTTCATGCAACAATGATTACCTTCCTGTAGCACACACTTCTGTAATCAAGAAGTGCTTTGAGAGGCTGGTTATGGCACACATTAACTCCACCATCCCAGCCACCCTAGACCCACTCCAATTTGCATACCATCCCAACAGATCCACAGCTGAAGCAATCTCAATTGCTCTCCACACTGCTCTCACCCACCTAGATAAGAGGAATACCTATGTGAGAATGCTGTTCATTGACTACAGCTCAGCATTCAACACCATTATCCCCTCCAAGCTCGTCACCAAGCTTAGGACTCTGGGTCTGAACACCTCCCTCTGCAACTGGATCCTGGACTTCCTGACGGGCCGACCCCAGGTGGTGAGGGTAGGCAACATCATCTCCACCACACTGACCCTTAACACAGGGGCCCCACAGGGGTGTGTGCTTAGTCCCCTCCTGTACTCCCTGTTCACCCACGACTGTGTGGCCACACACGACTCCAACACCATTATCAAGTTTGCTGACGACATGACAGAGGTAGGCCTGATCACCGGCGACGACGAGTCAGCCTACAGGGAGGTCAGTGACCTGACAGTGTGGTGCCGGAGCAACAACCTCTCCCTCAACATCAGCAAGACCAAGGAGCTGATTGTGGATTACAGGAAATGGGGGGGGGGGGGAGCATGCCCCCATCCACATCGACGAGGCAGCAGTGGAGCAGGTAGACAGCTTCAAGTTCCTCTGTGTCCAAATCACTAAAGACTTAAAATGGTCCAAACACACGCACAGTCGTGAAGAAGGCGTGACAGTGCCTCTTCCCCCTCAGGAGGTTGAAAAAATTTGGCATGGGCCCTCAAATCCTGAAAAGGTTATACAGCTGTACCATTGGCTGCATCACTGCTTGGTATGGCAATAGCACCGCCCTCGATCGCATGGTGCTACAGAGGGTTGTGCGAACAGCCCAGTACATTACTGGGGCCGAGCTCCCTGTCATCCAGGACCTCTATATCAGGCGGTGTGAAAACAAGGCCCGGAAAATCGTCAAAGACCCCAACCACCCAAGCCATAGACTATTTACACAGGGACCTACACACTCACACACAGTGGCACTCCAACACACACACAAACACTCACTCCATAATTTTCTCACACATAATATGCACATACATTTATACTGACTCTACACACCCGCACACCCACTCACATGCAAGGTGCTGCTACTCTGTGTATCTTATATCCTCTTGCCTAGTCACCTTACCCCTATACATGTCTACCTCCATCACTCCAGTATCCCTGCACATGTAAATATGGTATTGGAACTGACTTATAGTATGCTGACTTACTTACTTTATTGTGTATTTCATATTTCTTATTCTTATTTCTCGTGTTTTTTTCAGTTTAGTAATACATTGTTATTGATTATTGCATTGTTGGCTTTGAGTTTGCAATAAAGGATTTCACTGTACTTGTGCATGTGACATTAAAACTTGATGAAAGAAAGAAAGGCATGGTCCAGAGTGCTAGGGCTAAGGGATAGGGGTTAGGGGTAAGGGTTCAGCGGTTAGAGGTCATAGGTCAGTGTCCAGAGACAGTCCACTCACCCCTCGGGCTGCTGCAGGGCGTTCCTCATGGTTTTGATCTGCTGGAAATGGCAGGACATGTCTGTACTCATCACCATCTCAATCACCAGGGTCCGCAGCTCTCTGACAGACATAGACACAGCCAGACAGACAGACAGACAGGTTAGAGTTAGGTTAAAGAGAAATGGCAGGACATGTCTGTAATCATGACTATCTCAATCACCAAGGTCCACACCTCTCTGGAAACACACACAGGAGAACAGGGTTAGTTTCCACCTAGCCTCCACTCCAGCTGTTCTTTGATTCTCCAGGACAAGAACATAGTATGATGTCTAGCACCGCTTCCACTTCCAACAACCCCTAGCATAGAATTTCTATACAGTACCTAATGACAGGTGTGAGCCTGTGGGACTTTCCATGATCACTGATAGAGTGAAATATCCTTTCTATCCTCCAGTTTATATTATAGTCTTGCGTTGGCATACCACACCACACCACATTCGTATCCAAACCTAAAGTCAAGGCTAAGTATCCAGATTATGTTACAGTACTAGCCCTTTCGTTCTTTGAAGTGGTGATCTCAATCTATTAATCAAATGTATATTATAAAGCACTTTTTACATCAGCAGTTGTCACTAAGTGCTTTACAGCCTAAAACCCCAAACACTGAGGATCTGAGGAGTCTTTCTTAACTCACCGCCAGTCATCTTTTGACAGGTTGACCAGTATGTTCATCTCATCCTCTTGCATAAGTCTGTAGGCAGCACTGACATGGTGGTTCTCCAGGACTGACCGGTCGTTGTACAAGATGGCCACCTCTGACCTGGATAGAGGAAGAGAAGGAGCAGAAGAAAAGGGAAGAGAAGGTGTGAATCACCGTGTGATTAGTCATTGTGCTACATGGCGGTTCCCAGGCTAGCTTACTTTACCAGGTAGCCAACCTGTATGGCAGCAGTTTTGAAATTATGATAGCGATTAAGATACGATAGCAATGGTAGCTATTTGAGATGGGGCAGCAGGTACCCTAGCGAAAGGTCGCTGGTTTGAATCCCCGAGCCGACTAGGTGAAATCTGTTGATGTACCCTTGGGCAAGGCACTTTACCCTAATTTCTCCTGTAGGTCGCTCTGGATAAGAGTGTCTACTAAATTACTAAAATGTTTTTTTATTTTTTATGTAATGGTAGCGAAATGAGAATTCCAGATTCTCCTAATGAGAAAACTCATTTCAACTTTGGGTAAGTTGCAGAACAGGACCACATTAGAAAGTAGTTGTTCCGAGACAAATAATATTGTATTCATTTTTCTAAATGTAATTATAAGTAAAATGAGAAAAAACTAATGAGACAGTTAGTAGTACTTTACTCCAGTGCTAGGGCAGTTTGGAGATAGAAAATAATCACAGAGGGAGAGTTTAGACAATACCATAATTTTCCATTTCACCACAACCCTCATATCTAAAGTACCAGTGGCCTTTCTGATCAATTGTTATTAGACTAGAGAGCCATGCTGAGGTAATGAAGGGTTTAAACTAAAGGACTCCTCTCTCTCTCTCTCTCTCTCTCTCTCTCTCTCTCTCTCTCTCTCTCTCCTCTCTCTCTCTCTCTCTCTCTCTCTCTCTCTCTCTCTCTCTCTCTCTCTCTCTCCTCTACCTCTCTCTCTCTCTCTCTCTCTCTCTCTCTCCTCTCTCTCTCTCTCTCTCTCTCTCTCTCTCTCTCTGCTGTCCCTTATCACTGAGGTCAATGCTGCAATATTGAGTATTCACATTGTGCACTTCATTTTAATGGGTTCTTTAAATGGGTGCCTTCACTTAAATGGGCTCTTTATACGACCATGTTCCCTTCTTAAGGCTCCATTGGCATTCATTAGTCAGGGTCAGACTGACTGCACTGTCTGTCTCGGAGGCAAAAGCTGTACTAAAAGTACAATACAAGGACATGTTCAGTTGAACATTGGTATTGGTAGGATGGAATCAAATGGAATGAATGGAAATAGAAATAAATAATATATCCATTAGGTGGATCACGATCAGTGATACAGTAGCTAAGTGTTGTGTCAAACTTCAGGAATAAAAATGCCTACTGAAAGAAGAAGAAGAAGTTTGCACCATTCGTAGGAAACTTCAGGAAGAATACTGACACACACACCTGGTCTGAATGTGAAAGTTGTTGGTTGTCCCAGTGTGTTCAAAGTCATGGATAGCTGCAGCAAACACCATTGCTAGGATGTCCAGTTCAGTGAGCCAGTGCTAGAGAGAGAGAGAGAGAGATTAGACCCAACCAAATCATGAGAAAACAAAAAGATAATTACTTGACACATTGGAAAGAATTAACAAAAAAACAGAGCAAACTAGAATGCTAAACAGAGATTACACAGTGGCAGAATACCTGACCACTGTGACTGACCCAAAATTAAGGAAAGCTTTGACTATGTACAGACTCAGTGAGCATAGCCTTGCAATTGAGAAAGGCCGTCGTAGGCAGACCTGGCTCTCAAGAGAAGACAGGCTATGTGCACACTGCCCACAAAATGAGGTGGAAACTGAGCTGCACTTCCTAACCTCCTGACAAATGTATGACCATATTAGAGACACCTTTTCCCTCAGATTACACAGATCCACAAAGAATTAGAAAACAAACCCAATTTTGATAAACTCCCATATCTATTGGGTGAAATTCCACAGTGTGCAATCACAGCAGCAAGATTTGTGACCTGTTGCCACAAGAAAAGGGCAACCAGTGAAGAACCATCACCATTGTAAATACAACCCATATTTATGTTTATTTATTTTCCCTTTTGTACTTTAACTATTTGCACATAATATGACATTTGAAATGTCTTTATTATTTTGGAACTTTTGTGAGTGTAATGTTTACTGTTCATTTTTATTGTTTATTTCACTATTGTTTATTATCTACTTCACTTGCTTTGGCAATGTTTACATATGTTTCCCATGCCAATAAAGCCCTTAAATTGAAATGAGAGAGAGAGAGAGAGAGAGAGAGAGAGAGAGAGAGAGAGAGAGAGAGAGAGAGAGAGAGAGAGAGAGAGTAACCGAGAGAGAGAGACAGAGAGAGACAGAGAGGGACAGAGAGAGAGAGAGAGAGAGAGAGAGAGAGAGAGTAACCGAGAGAGAGAGACAGAGAGAGACAGAGAGGGACAGAGAGAGAGAGAGAGAGAGAGTAACCGAGAGAGAGACAGAGAGAGAGGGAGAGAGAGAGAGAGAGAGAGAGAGAGAGAGAGAGAGTCCTTTAGTTTAAACCCTTCATTACCTCAGCATGGCTCTCTAGTCTAATAACAAGTGTAAATGTAACACAATCAGAACCTGTTCTTTGATCTGTCTATTATGCTGGGGGACAATTCATTGCATCCCCATTGCACCAACCTCTGTCTGTGTGTGTGCGTGCGTGCATGTGAGACTCACCATAATGCCAGTGTGGAGCATCAGATAGTGTGCTGTCTGTGTGACATCGGCAGCGTGGATCAGGTTATGGTAGGGGTTTCTGTGTTTGCTGTAGCCCACCTCTAGAGCCTCTACGAAGGACACCAGAGATGACACTGGAATCTGGGGAAGAACAGGGAGGTTAAGGCACTAGAGATGACACTGGTATCTGGAGAAGAACAGGGAGGTTAAGGCACTAGAGATGACACTGGTATCTGGAGAAGAACAGGGAGGTTAAGGCACTAGAGATGACACTGGTATCTGGAGAAGAACAGGGAGGTTAAGGCACTAGAGATGACACTGGTATCTGGAGAAGAACAGGGAGGTTAAGGCACTAGAGATGACACTGGTATCTGGAGAAGAACAGGGAGGTTAAGGCACTAGAGATGACACTGGTATCTGGGGAAGAACAGGGAGGTTAAGGCACTAGAGATGACACTGGTATCTGGAGAAGAACAGGGAGGTTAAGGCACTAGAGATGACACTGGTATCTGGAGAAGAACAGGGAGGTTAAGGCACTAGAGATGACACTGGTATCTGGAGAAGAACAGGGAGGTTAAGGCACTAGAGATGACACTGGTATCTGGGGAAGAACAGGGAGGTTAAGGCACCAGAGATGACACTGGTATCTGGGGAAGAACAGGGAGGTTAAGACACCAGAGATGACACTGGTATCTGGGGAAGAACAGGGAGGTTAGGACACCAGAGATGACACTGGTATCTGGGGAAGAACAGGGAGGTTAGGACACCAGAGATGACACTGGTATCTGGGGAAGAACAGGGAGGTAAAAAATAAATAAAAATAACTCACAACATTAAACAGACAAAAACAAAAGCAAGAGCTCAAATTGTCCGCTAGATGAACAACAGGAAGGTGAGTGGCTCTGCTTGGTCAGAGAGGGCCAATTCCACTACAGACAATGACTAACACAGTGAGTTCAAGGCAGCTGGAGAGACAGAAGTGAAATGCTATCACACACACCACTACTCTTTTCTCATTTGTAGTGCATAGAATTACATCCCCAGAGTTGACTTCCTTAGAGAAAAGATCCCTCCTGCACACTCCTGCAAGATATTACATCTGGCACATTGTTTATTGTCCAAATTGGCATGAGTGCGAGAGTTATCTTTTCTCCAACGAAGCTGGAGAGACAGAGAGAGACACGTGTGGGGGCTTCATGTGTACGTGTACTGTAGCTTATGTGTGAGCTTAACTCATTTTGTTTAATCAGACTAAGAGCAGAGTAAGGCCCAGAACACTGCTCTTCCTAAATCAAATATGAGCATCATCCGTCACACACGTTCACATTCACAATGAAAGAGCTGAGCTCCTTCGGATATTTGAGTGTCCATTTAAAGCCTAGCTGTCACATTGATTCTAGGAACAGTATGACAGTATGGCTGTGAATGACAAAACCCACACATGTAACAATCTGTAGGTGACAAGGCCACCTATACGCTGTGCGTAGGGCCTCCCGACTGACTGTTGAGAGATAGCGTGGTAGAATAATAATTAATATTTGACTGGATTTATATAGCGCTTTTCTACCAACTGAGGTACTCAAAGCGCTTTACATAGTGGGGGGAAACTCACCTCATCCACCACCAATGTGTGGCACCCACCTGGGTGATGCACGGCAACCATTTTTGTGCCAGAACGCTAATCACACATCAGCTAGAGAGTGATATATCTCAATTAGGAATGAGGGGGATGATTAGGGGCCATGATGGAATGGGGCCAGGTTGGGAATTTAGCCATGACACCGGGGTTAACACCCCTAGTCTTGCAATAAGTGCAATGGGATGTTTAATGACCACACAGAGTCAGGACACCCGTTTAACGTCCCATCTGAAAGACGGCACCCTATGCAGGGCAATGTCCCCTTCACTGCCCTGGGGCATTGGGATCTCCTTAGACCAGAGGGAAGAGTGCTCCCTACTGGCCCTCCAACACCCCTTACAGCAGCATCTGGTCTCCCATCCAGGGACTAATCAGGACCGACCCTGCTCAGCTTCAGAGGCAAGCCAGCAGTGGGATGCAGGGTGGTATGCTGCTGGCTTGTATACACAATCTGCAATGTGGACATTTGGTAGTACTTCAGCAGTTTTCCTCCTGTTATGTCAGTCACTGACAGTCAATCAATTAACCCATGTCAGCTAACATTTTATAGATTGCTAGGTAAGTTAGTCTAGCCAGCTATCTAATCACTGTAGTAATCATGTCCGAATTAGCCTACTGACTGGGCACACAGGGCACATGACTAGGGGCCCTGATCTCCAGGGGTCCCCCATTGATTTTGTTAGTCACTCCCACTCAGATATCATATGAACATGGCATAAGTCATGGCAAAATGTGTAGAATTGCAGGGGATATAGCATTGAAACTGTAACATTTTCTCTCCATCCATGGCAAAATTAGTAGAATCGCATAAAATGTGTTTTAAAACTGCAAAACACTGTATGTCATGTAGTCTTAGCACCTTTTTTCTAAGTGTGTATCTAGAACCTAAAAGGGTTCTTCGGCTGTCCCCATAGGAACAACCCTTTTTGGTTCCAGGTAGAACTGGTTTAGGTTCCATGTAGAGCCCTTTCTACAGAGGGTTCTGCATGGAACCCAAAAGGGTTCTGACTGGAACCAAAAAGGGTTATTCTATGGGGACAGCCGAAGAACCCTTTTGAAACCCTTTTTTCTAAGAGTGAATGTAGCCCTTCAAGTAAAGTGTAACCATATTATCATATGATTAAAATATAATCCTCACATTCAGATCAAAGCACAGTAGCAGTACGTGTTGGTGATAATCTCACCACTCGTCTAATAGAGGACATGTAGAAACTATAGTATAAAACCAGACAAAGAGAACAGAACAGAAACAGTGTGAGGTTGGAGGTTCCTCTGAGGCACCCAGACCAGAGGCCTGTGGTGTAGAACAGAGGACAGAGTAACACACACACACACAGAGGCTTGTGGTATAGAACAGAGGACAGAGTAACACACACACACACACACACAGAGGCTTGTGGTATAGAACAGAGGACAGAGTAACACACACACACACACACAGAGGCTTGTGGTATAGAACAGGCTAAGGAGGTGATTAGGAATAATACTTAGTTAACAAACAAACTCACACAGCCTGATGACAGAGAGACTGAAGAGAGACTAACCCTGAAGCGGTTGATCAGGTCATATCGGGTGAGCAGTTCGTACACCAGGAACTTTAATGCGTGTTCACTGCTGGCCTCGTGGAGCACAAACACATCAAAGCACCAGTTATCTACATCCTGTAAACAATAAGATGATGTCAGGGATGATGACAGCACAGAATTAAATAGAACACACATTGTGTTCTATAATAAAACACATATTGATTATCATCGCTATGAATGCCAGAATATGATGATGTTATGATAAAGTCTAAAACAGCTGTAAAATTAGGTACATCTTGTACAGATATAATAAAGCCTTTATTCTGCAGTTATATGCATGATATGACACAGTTTATTATCTCTTTAATGTTTTAGCATGTCAACATTCCTATCTCAAAGTGTAGCTTGACTGATGTCATCATCTTTAATTTCTCATAGGTCCGGTTTCCCCGACACAGATTGAGCAAGACAAGAGATTCCCCATTGAGCATGAGTTTTAGTCTGTGTCTGGGAAACCAGTCCCTAATGTATGATGTATAATAGTAATAGTAATACTATAGTAATAGTAATATGATGTATCAGGCACCTTCAAAGCAGCGATGGCAGCTGGAGGGTACGTCAGTCCAGCCATGTTAGATGTCCGTCTGTACATCCTGAAGATAGATACACAACCATTAGGTGGTTAGACAATAGAACTGCGATGCACCCAGCGGGCAAAACAGGTTTAAATAATGTTATGATGAATACTGCTTTTAATGATTTCATTTCAATGAGTTTTGCCCGCTGGGGCAGCTCCTGTACATGTACTTTGTATACATAGAAAACTGTACACACAGACAACCAACAACGGCTAATGATTTCAATTGTATTCTTCCCATTATGGTATCAAACTGCTACAGTCAACGATTAGTAATGGGATCAACAGTAATTTAATTTTTGAAAGATAAAAGGCAGCAAGGCTTTTGAGCAGGCATTCTTTGCAGATTACAAATATTTTGGCGCTGGCCAGAACCGAACCAAATGCTGGGTGTTGAAAGGGGTGAGGGGAGGGATGAGACAGGGCTGTTAAATAAGGCCAAAGAAAGACTGTATTTGGGCTTTGGCAACAGCAACAAAGAAAGGTGTGACGTCGGAAGCCCAGCCAAGTTCTCTCTGTTCTTCAAGTGTCTAGTTAATAAAAGAGAAGAGGGTTGTGTCCCAAATGGCACCCTATTCTCTATGGGCCTTGGTCAAATGTAGTGTGCTATATAGGGAATAGGTTGCAATTTGGGATGCATCCTACATCTAGTTTATAAAAGAGAAGAAGGAGAATCTGGCAGGCTGGGCTTTGACTGTATTCTCCTCTCTCGTCTCCTCTGAGAGTGTTTTCAGTCCTAGACCCATTCGTTTTTCTCAGGAGAATCTGGGCTGAAGAGACCATACTGTCTGACGGACATATTATATAACTGTAAAGACAGATCTTCCAACATTTTTAACAAATGGAATATGGACACACATTTTATAACTCAAATTCTAGTGTTGTCCACAAAAGAAGAAACCATCCAAATCTATTGGTTGACAAATTTGAATAATAAACTAAGTAATGTAAATTCCAACTGTCGAACTGAGAATGCCTGCATTGTGGGTTCCATTTTGGAATATTCAATTCAGGAGCCTAGTAGTTGCCATGGAAATAAGAGTGAGACACAGGCCATAGCACCAGCTCTTGAGGAGATCGAGACGCATTGCTGTTAATGATGTTTATGTATTCATGTTATTACCCACTGTAAGTAAGAATTCACTACTGACCATTTTTATTAACTGGCAGAATGACAGTTAATACTATTAGACTACAACCGAAAGCAATTGAGGGAAGCGCATTGCTCAATATGATTTATGTATTCATGTTTGTGCCCACTTACTGGAAGTAGGCAGGTTTTTAATAATAACCATTTTCTATTGAAAGGCAGAATGACAGTTATGTGTTTCTTTTAAGAACAACACAAGAAGCAATTCATTGGAGCTTCTAACAAAAGTGTTAATGGTTTGATGGTATGTTCTTTTATTTATCTGTACTTAAATGTCTCTGCATACTTATTAATGTAGATAGCCTACTGTAATTCTTTATGTTTATTTTCCCATACATGATATAAAGTACATCCTCCAGTTCTTCTTGACGAAGAAGACTGTGGTTTGTTGTGTGTGTGTGTGTGTGTGTGTGTGTATGTGTGTCAGCACGTGTCTGTGTGTGTGTGTGTGTGTGTGTGTGTGTGTGTGTGTGTGTGTGTGTGCGCATGTGTGTATATGTGTGTACCTCTCGACGAAGATGCCAGCCTGCACGGCATGGACAATGCTCTTGAACCGTGGTTTCTCCTCGGGTCGTCTCCTGACCACGCCCATCTTCCTGGTGAAGGTCGAGGCCAGCCAATCCCGCACCTCCATAGGGACAGAGTCCGTCTGGATGTCACTGAGCTCATCCTCAGTGTCCAGAAGACGCCTGGGAGGGGAGCAACAAGGGACAGAGTCAGACTCCAGGTCACTCGGAACACACAAATGTAACAGTACCATACCATACTACCTGATATTCACCTGTTACATACCTGTAACCCACCTGTAAGAGTGTCACATTCCCTCTCATTCACTTTTTACCCATATCCTGCAAAAGTAAAGCTAAATGCTAAATGTCACTCACACTGGGCATAGTAATAGCATGTTGCTAATAAAAGTGTAATTTGTTTCCATTGCTGACTGTAATGAGTTGAGAGGCCAGGTCTTAACAAATGCCTTTTTACCTGTCCTGGTATGGAGCCCCTGAACCATCATCCTCACTATGTGATCCCCAGTAAATGGACTTCTTAAGTGTTAACTGACAGCCTCTCTTTCCACTGCAATTTGTTTAGTTTCCCTTCATCTTGTTTTACTGAGGAAATAGCCTTGTTGATTTATTAATTGTAAAACAGATCTTCAGTTTTAATGAGAAAGAAAATGTGGCCAATGAAGGAAAAGAGAGGCAGATCTTTTTAAAGTTGTGATTATAGAATGTCAACATTAGGTTAGATGCTAACCTAAGGAAATGAGGCTTATGGAATCGAGATAAGGGTGCAGGACTTCCTTCTGCAAGTAATTATTCTGAAATTGTAAAACTGAGCTGAAAATAAATTATAATCTATTACGATCATGGGAAATGCAATTACTACACAAATATGATTCAATCAAAGTCTGCATCCAAAATGGCATCCTATTCTCTTTATAGTGCACTACTTTTAGTGCACAGAGCCCTAGTGCACAGATGTAGGGAAAGGGTTCTACTTTGAACCGAAAAAGGTTCTACCTGGAACCAAAAAGGGTTCTTCAAAGGGTTCTCCTATGGGGACAGCCGATGAACCCTTTTAGGTTCTAGATAGCACCTTTTTTTCTAAGAGTGTACATAGTAAATAAGGTGCCATTTGGGATGAACAGAGAGAGAGAGAGAGAGAGAGAGAGAGAGAGAGAGAGAGAGAGAGAGAGAGAGAGAGAGAGAGAGAGAGAGAGAGAGAGAGAGAGAGAGAGAGAGAGAAGAGAGAGGAGAGAGAGAGAGAGAGAGAGAGAGAGAGAGAGAAACATAAGCTCTGCAATCAGACTACAGGCTAGGCAACACCTGCTTATCGCTGGAGAGCCCAACTGAGCTGACTCACTCTGCAGTCTGTATCATCAACTACAGCCACAACAGCCCAGACTGAGAGGGATGTGCGGCTCAGTCAGACTTTAGTTTAATAGTCTCCTCCATGGAGAGATGGAAAGCTTCACACAAGAAGAAGTAAAGCATGGAGTGGATGAGTGCTCCTTTGAGTAATCGGACGTTTCCCTCTGATGTTCACTCCCCGTCTCTGGCTTCACCACACACACACACATATGTACGAGCACGAGACACAGAGAGACACAGCGAGAACTGAGACACAGAGAGAGAACTGAGACAGAGAGAGAGAGCTGAGACAGAGAGAACTGAGACACACAGAGAGAACTGAGACACAGAGAGAACTGAGACACAGAGAGAGCTGAGACAGAGAGAACTGAGACACACAGAGAGAGAGCTGAGACACAAAGAGAACTGAGACACAGAGAGAGAACTGAGACACACAGAGAGAACTGAGACACAGAGAGAGAGAGCTGAGACACAGAGAGAAATGAGACACACAGAGATAACTAAGACACAAAGAGAACTGAGACACAGAGAGAACTGAGACACACAGAGAGAGAGCTGAGACACAAAGAGAGAACTGAAACACAGAGAGAACTGATACACAGAGAGAACTGATACACAGAGAGAACTGAGACACAGAGAAAACTGAGACACAGAGAGAGAACTGAGACACAGGGAGAGAGCTGAGACACAGAGAGAACTGATACACAGAGTGAACTGAGACACAGAGAGAACTGGACTTTGATCAGCAGACACAAAGACACTGTTTGCATAGAAAAGGTATCTTTCAAAATTGTCTGAGCAAAGGCACCAAAACAACATAGTACTGCCCTTGTGGTACACCACTGGTTGTACTGCACTCGATTCTGTCAAGGAATTTGATCATCAGAATAGGTTACTATCTATGAGTCATATTTTCTGTGAGTTGTATTTGTGCAGTTATTTCCCATACCTTTAACGGTGCAGAGTGCAATATGTTTGATGTAGTCATGCATGGTATTTAATTCAACTGAAATGCACTCACCTGGTTTCATCGATATAGACTGCCTCTAGAACAGAGGCTGCATACTCTATATTCTTCCTCAAGTCCACCACATTCACTTCTCCCTTGTCTAGCTGCTTCACCAGGCATCTCAATCTGCAAAGAGGAAGTTGGATTCACATTTAATCTTCATTTATGAGCTCATGAACACTGGATAATACATAGTACATGGAGAACAGTACTGTATGTCGATACAACTCAACAGGCTCTGTGCTGGTCTAGTCAAATCAAATCAAATCAAACATTATTGTTATTGGTCGCGTACACATATTTTGCAGATGTTATCGCAGGGGCAGCTAAATGCTTATGTTTCTAGCTCCAACAGTGCAGTAATACCTAACAATACAAAACAATACAAACAAATCCTCCCCCCTCAAAAAAATTAAATAAATAAGAATAATCAGAACGAGCAATGTCAGAGCCCGGAATATATATTATACATACAGTACCAGTCAAAAGGTTGGACACACCTACTCGTTCTTTATTTTTACTATTTTCTACATAGTAGAATAATAGTGAAGACATCAAAAGGTAGGGGTGGTATACAGAATATAGCCCTATTTGATAAAAGACCAAGTCCATATTATGGCAAGAACAGCTCAAATAAGCAAAGAGAAATGACAGTCCATCATTACTTGAAGACATGAAGGTCAGTCAATACGGAGAATTTCAAGAACTTTGAAAGTTTCTTCAAGTGCAGTCGCAAAAACCATCAAGTGCTATGATGAAACTGGCTCTCATGAGGACCGCCACAGGAAAGGAAGACCCAGAGTTACCTCTGCTGCAGAGGATAAGTTCATTAGAATAACTGCACCTCAGATTGCAGCCCAAATAAATGTCACAGACACATCTCAACATCAACTATTCAGAGGAGACTGCGTGAATCATGCCTTCATGGTCGAATTGCTGAAAAGAAACCACTACTAAAGGACACTAATAATAAGAAGAGGCTTGCTTGGGCCAAGAAACACGAGCAATGGACATTAGACCGGTGGAAATCTGTCCTTTGGTTCCAACCGCCATGTCTTTGTGAGACGCAGAGTAGGTGAACGGATGATCTCCGCATGTGTGGTTCCCACCATGAAGCATGGAGGGGGAGGTGTGATGGTGTGGGGGTGCTTTGCTGGTGACACTGTCAGTGATTTTTTTAGAATTCAAGGCACACTTAACCAGCACGGCTACCACAGCATTCTGCAGCGATACGCCATCCCATCTGGTTTGCACTTAGTGGGACTATCATTTGGTTTTCAACAGGACAATGACCCAAAACACACCTCCAGGCTGTGTAAGGGCTATTTGACCAAGAAGGAGAGTGATGGAGTGCTGCATCAGATGACCTGGCCTCCACAATCACCTGACCTCAACCCTGTTGAGATGGTTTGGGATGATTTGGACTGCAGAGTGAAGGAAAAGCAGCCAACAAGTGCTCAGCATATGTGGGAACTCCTTCAAGACTGTTGGAAAAGCATTCCTCATGAAGCTGGTTGAGAGAATGCCAAGAGTTTGCAAAGCTGTCATCAAGCAAAGGGTGGCTACTTTGAAGAATATAAAATATATTTTGATTTGTTTAACACTTTTTTGGTTACTACATGATTCCATATGTGTTATTTCATAGTTTTGAGGTCTTCACTATTATTCTACAATGTAGAAAATAGTAAAAATAAAGAAAAACCCTTCAATGAGTAGGTGTGTCCAAACTTTTGACTGGTACTGTATACATATAATTATATTCCGGACTCTGACATTGCTCGTTCTGGTATTTCTTAATGGTTTTTGTGTGTATTTGTGTGTATTGTTTTGTATTGTTAGGTGTTACTGCACTGTATATAATGGTGTGAAATTGACAGTATGGACAATACAATTTATTGAAAAGGTGAGTACAGCATTTGTTATATAGAGTACCACAGTATGAGTCATAATACCCATAAAACCTAGCGGTCAAACAGGGAAATGGTTCCATTCATTTTTCCCATAGGGGATTTTAGAAACACTTAAAATAAGGGCTGGGTTTCGTGTAGGCTTACCCTGGCGTGACGTTTTGATAACCGTGTAAATCTCTCTCGGACAAGGTGACTTTTATCAATATATTTGTCTGTATTAACCCCCCCAAAATTAAATGCTAATTAGCTGCTAATGTGGCTATCATAAAGAACTACAAATGCCATGATGATCTGGATGAGACTGCCGAATCGAGGCAAAGGTAAGAATATCTGGATTAACTAGCTAATGTTAGCTAAATGTAGTAATTAATAAATTGGCTTAATTTCTTTAAATGGACCTGGTGTCAGCTTGAGATGACGTGCAGGAGCTTGCAGGGATTTGTAGTCTTGCATGATGTCTACTTTGATGCTAATTAGCATTTGCGAACCTGAGAGTAAATGGAGCCGAATATATTGATAAAAGTCACCTTGTCCAAGAGAGATTCACGGGGTTATCAAAACGTCAGGCCAGGGTAAATCTACACGAAACACAGACCTTATTTTAAGTGTTCCTAAAATCCCCTATGGGAGAAATTCATGGTGAAAATACGATTGGAACCATTTCCCTGTTTAACCGCTAGGTTTTATGGGTGTTATGACACCTCAACTGTGGGGCTCTAAATAAATTAATAATAATAAAATATGCTGTTTAGCAGACACTTTTATTCAAAGCGACTCACAGTTATGCATGCATACACTTTATGTACGGGTGATCCCAAGAATCGAACCCACAACCATGCTATACCAACTGAGCTACAAAGGACCAAGGACCAAGGGCACTATAGGATGAGCCTTGACTAGAACACAGTATATACATATGAAGTGGGTAAAACAGTATGTAAACATTATTAAAGTGTGTGTGCGTGTGTGTGTGCGTGTGTGTATGTAGACATCCAGAGAACTAGCACCATTGAACTCTGACCGCCTGATCAACAAAGCCCAGAAAGTCAGTGGCGTCTGTGAAGCCTTTGGTTTTGGTCTCATACAGATTTTTAAATATTTACCACGGGACTAGTGCCTCATTAAAAACAACAGGGGATTGACACTGTGCCATGGCTCGCCTCGGTGGGCACACACAGTCTATCACCAAACACCAGACTCCCAACTGACCAACCAACCCTCAGCAAAATGACTTGGGATGCATCCCAAATGGCACCCTATTCCCCATATAGTGCACTACTTTTGACCAGAGGGCCTGTAGTGCACTATACAGGTAATAGGGTGCCATTTCAGATGCAATCTCAGATCCCTGCTGCAAGGCAAGGCCACTAGAGGAGCATCTGTTTTCAATCTGAGGTGTTATTATGTGAAAATCTGTAACAGAGGAGTATTCAGAAGTATTGAAGTGTTATTGGTATGTGGTTTTATATGAACACATAATCCTAAAACCCAAGCTGTCAAAGCAACAGGATCAACTGACTGAAAGCCAGAATACAGTACAGAAAACACACACAATACAGTACAGAAAACAACCCATGCATCTGCCTACAAAGTGAGCAGGGGAAAGCCATCTACAAAGTGAGCAGGGGAAAGCCATCTACAAAGTGAGCAGGGGAAAGCCATCTACAAAGTGAGCAGGGGAAAGCCATCTACAAAGTGAGCAGGGGAAAGCCATCTACAATGTGAGCAGGGGAAAGCCATCTACAATGTGAGCAGAGGAAAGACATCTACAAAGTGAGCAGAATGTAGCCTACAAGTAGTAGAGAGACTGTGATAAGCCTTGGACTTTATTGTGTCTTTACTGTGGGCTTATTTGTCTTATCCAGTCCTTATTCTTCCTTCTCTCTAGTCTTTCCTTCTTTTTATGTCTTCAAAGGGGAAACACAGCAGGATACTGCTCTGCCAGTCAAGATGAGTGAGCCAAGTGCCAAGTCTATACTATTCTATCACAGGGGGCTGGTGGCACCTTAATTGGAGAGGACAGGCTCATAGTAATAGCTGGAATGGAGTTAATGGAATGACATTGACACATCAAGCACATTGTTTCCTAGTGTTTGATACCATTCCATTCACTCCATTCCAGCCATTATTATGAGCCGTCCTCCCCTCACCAGCCTCCTGTGTATTCTATTGTGTTCAGCGTTAATTGGAAATCTGACTGACTACTATTGGCAAACTGCCACCCCCTTGTTCTGTAAGCTACAACAAGACAAACACCTATGAGCGGCTCAAACATGGTGAACTCAGCCTACATTGATGTGACCGTAAATAGCGACACCTGTTGCACCTAATAATGGTCTGTAATATCAACATATTTCAATATATGACTCTAATGAGGATGCATAAAGTAAACATTTGCCTTGCATAATCAAGTTGTAGACAGCCGTCTCTTCCACATTATCAACTGCCTGTGATATTACATCTACTGTTGCATTTAGCCTGATATAGTATCTGGTGCACTTTGGATGAGAGTGAGATGTAGCCAGGGTGAGAGTTGGCAACAGTCCCTCAAAACAACCGCCTCTCCATCTCACTTATCACACACTCAGTAGCAACAGGTTCCCACAGACCAGGGTCTGTATTCAAAAAGTGTCTCAGAGTAGGAGTGCTAGGGCAGGTCCCCCCTGTTCATATAATCGTATGTATTATGATCTAAAAGGCAAAACTGATCCTAGATCAGCACACCTACTCTGAAACTCTTTGTGAATAGGGTCACAGACACCGCGTTTAGACTTCAGGTTGAAACCACTGAAACCATGGGAATAGTTAATGTGTAATGGGTGGGGGAATAACAACAAGGCTATTCCCACCCACAGTTTCCAGCCGTAGCTTTATCAATCATATGACCTTTTCTTCTGTCACTCCCCACAGCACTGGCCTGATGTCTTCCATCTCACACACCCTTGACCATACCAATCACAAAGCAGATAAATATAAATAGAGGCCCTGATTGGTGGATCTATCTGGGTCACAATAACACAACCTTGTCTTTGGAAGTGAGCTAAAATGACTCTTTCTTTCATGTGATTTCAGTATGTTTCAGTATAGGTTAGCATATGATAAAATATTCTGAAGAAATTGGCAGTATATCAATAGCTGAAACACCCACAAAGGTAGCAGTATTGAGATATTTCTTAGAGAAAACATGTGGACTGTACAATGGTAAAGGGACTATAGACAGGTCAAATCCATGTTACAACAAGTTCAGTTGTATAAGCACATGTCATATCTTTCTCAACAACTGGGTTGCTTATCTGAGTTCACATGAGCTCTGGGAATCTTTGTTTGACATTTTGGGAGTAGAAAACCTAAGACATCTGGACCACTCTTCAGATGATGTTGTACAGTACCAATGTTTTAAACACTCACTTACAGATGTAGGATCTTAATTTGATAACTCTTTTGTTGATGAACATTTTCCTGTACAGCAGGAAATGCAAACTTGTAGTATATTCAAGGTTTAAAAAGGCTTCTAAAGTTTGTAATTTCCACTTTAAAATGTCAGACTTGATTTGCCCTAACATGTAAAATGTATTATACAACGGGAGGGTCTAATCCTGAATGTTGATTGGTTAAAACCGCATTCCAGCCGGTGTCTATTCCACAAGTTACCACCAGCTAAATCTATGACATTAAAATGCCTATTTACACAGTTCCATCTGACTGCGCAATCCACTGTCTCGTCAACACAGTCAGGCACTTTATAAACTTGATCTCCACTATAAAAAGCATCTAGATATTATCTCACATTTATTTTAGACTAACATTTAGTTTGCAACAGTGGAGATTTGTATAAACCTTGCTGTCTGTCTCTCTGACATTTGCAACATTGTTTCAATATTCAAATTCTATCTCCTGCTGTCCCGTAGTATTGAACGTGTCGGGAGTCGGGACGAGACAGAAAGGCAGGCAGCGTTTCTCAGCCAGTCGAAATCATGAATCAGCTGGCATCATTTTTATGATATACAGTGGGGAAAAAAAGTATTTAGTCAGCCACAAATTCTGCAAGTTCTCCCACTTAAAAAGATGAGAGAGGCCTGTAATTTTCATCATAGGTACACGTCAACTATGACAGACAAAATGAGGAAAAACAATCCAGAAAATCACATTGTAGGATTTTTTATGAATTTATTTGCAAATTATGGTGGAAAATAAGTATTTGGTCAATAACGAAAGTTTCTCAATACTTTGTTATATACCCTTTGTTGGCAATGACACAGGTCAAACGTTTTCTGTAAGTCTTCACAAGGTTTTCACACACTGTTGCTGGTATTATGGCCCATTCCTCCATGCAGATCTCCTCTAGAGCAGTGATGTTTTGGGGCTGTCGCTGGGCAACACGGACTTTCAACTCCCTCCAATGATTTTCTATGGGGTTGAGATCTGGAGACTGGCTAGGCCACTCCAGGACCTTGAAATGCTTCTTACAAAGCCACTCCTTCGTTGCCCGGGCGGTGTGTTTGGGATCATTGTCATGCTGAAAGACCCAGCCACATTTCATCTTCAATGCCCTTGCTGATGGAAGGAGGTTTTCACTCAAAATCTCATGATACATGGTCCCATTCATTCTTTCCTTTACACGGATCAGTCGTCCTGGTCCCTTTGCAGAAAAACAGTCCCAAAGCATGATGTTTCCACCCCCATGCTTCACAGTAGGTATGGTGTTCTTTGGATGCAACTCAGCATTCTTTGCCCTCCAAACACGACGAGTTGGGTTTTTACCAAAAAGTTATATTTTGGTTTCATCTGACCATATGACATTCTCCCAATCCTCTTTTGGATCATCCAAATGCACTCTAGCAAACTTCAGACGGGCCTGGACATGTACTGGCTTAAGCAGGGGAACACGTCTGGCACTGCATGATTTGAGTCCCTGGCGGCGTAGTGTGTTACTGATGGTAGGCTTTGTTACTTTGGTCCCAGCTCTCTGCAGGTCATTCACTAGGTCCCCCCGTGTGGTTCTGGGATTTTTGCTCACCGTTCTTGTGATCATTTTGACCCCACGGGGTGAGATCTTGCGTGGAGCCCCAGATCGAGGGAGATTATCAGTGGTTTTGTATGTCTTCCATTTCCTAATAATTGCTCCCACAGTTGATTTCTTCAAACCAAGCTGCTTACCTATTGCAGATTCAGTCTTCCCAGCCTGGTGCAGGTCTACAATTTAGTTTCTGGTGTCCTTTGACAGCTGACTAAATACTTTTTTTCCCCACTGTATACAAAAAAATGTCAATTGAAAAAAGGTACAACGAAACGAAGCTAATGTGCAGTCTTTCCAGCTTCAGTTTAAAATGACTGTGTTACTGTAGCTGTGTTGTTGACTAGCTCCTCTGAACAACAGTGTCCTGAGGAGTGAGCACATTCTCTATGCAAGGCGAAATCGCGCCTCATTAGCTCGTTGTTATGGATGTATCCAAATAAATGTCACTAGAAAGCAGCTTAAACAAACGCAAATGCAGCTACTTTGCTGGCTGTTATTCTGGCTGAATTTTTTTGACGTAACTGTAAATTAGCCGTAGTTGGCTAGCTAGCAAGCAAGGGATAAGAACGTTGCCAGCCAGTATGGCAATGGAACATTTAGAACGAATGACAGTCTATAGATACAGAACAAAAAGACTGAACGACTGGGTCGTGTCCATAGATACAGAACAAAAAGAACGAACGACTGGGGCGTGTCTCTAGCAACCCTAGATTTGTGTCGGGACTATATCTTGTGGAAGGATGAAATAGTACGAATAAATTAATCAAAATAACATTTTTTATGAAAATATGTAAATCATTATTTGAATATGTTGGTAACCCGTTGTATAAAAGTGATTATGCACTCGGGCCTAACAAGACCCGTGCCAATATATCCAACAAACACTGGCGTCTCGGACATTATCACTTAATCAACCCCTACAAAAAAAATCCATAAATTATAATGCACATAATAATTAACATTTCCTGTTACTGCAGGATTATTGTCCTGCTGTAGCAAACTGGATCAAATTAAGATCCTACAGCTGTAGTATGCATCCCAAATTACACCCTATTCCCTACATAGTGCACAACAGAGTTGACCACAGTCCTATGGCCCTGGTCAAAAGTTGTGCACTATATAGGGAATCGGGTTCCATTTGGGACGTAGACACAGCCTTATCTTTGCTGTCCAAGACTTCAACTCAGAGCTCAATATAATGACAAACTAACTCCATGTGTTGACATACATTATCCTGTTACTGTGACTATGAAATAACCATAATACATATTTTGAGTATATTCGTCATAGCACTATATAGACTACACTACATACTGTAAGACCTGTGTGGCGTTTTTAAAGAATGAAAATGAACTAAGTTAGCAATTTGTCAGGGTCAGATTAAAATAGGCTTTATGTGAAACTGTATCGCCTTCCGGAGCTTATTTCTGAGCTGGGCCTCCAAGAAGTACAAACAAAGGCATAGGGGGATGTCTGATTTTAGCTGCATCCGACTGGACATGTCAGACCTACAAGAGAGCATTTTCCCATGAATGAACTGTGTCCTCCTCCTTGGAGGGGGCTGCTGCCGTCACCAGGGCCCAGACTGGGGCCCCAGAAGCCACAGTGACAGGGCTGGGGCTCGAGCTGGAATAGAGCTGGAGCACCCTGCTCTGCTCTGCTGCCTGCTCTGCCAACCTCTCAGACAGACTGATCCAACATTCCTCACCACTGAAGATGGCACCCAGAGGACTACTTTATGACCCGATAACGACCTGTTTCCAAGAAACAGCGACGGATGATTACTACTACATTTCAAGTATGAAAAAAGAAAAAGGGGCCAGACTGCAGTATGTTGTCTGACTGTGAACTAGACTGGTTTGTGCATCATCTATTTTCAACAAATAAACAGATCTGTACCTTGGTGGTACCCCGGGCATACAGAGGCTAAACAAGAATGCTTTTCATGTTGCTAAGAAATCCAAATTGCACCTTTTCCCTATTTAGTGCATGACTTTATGGAGTCATTTGGGATGCAGCCACTGTGTTTGGGTGGTTCTCTTTAATGGCTCCTGTCATGAGGTGAGGTGTATGTGTGGTGGAAGTCAGGCGCAGGACACCGAGGCTCAGTCCAACAGAGTTTACTCAAAATTCCAAAAGGACACGGTAAACTAACGACCTCAAACAAAAAGAGGCGAGTATTTACGCACATGCGTAAAACACTAAATAACAAAACAAGAAACGAAACACGCAACACAAGACAGGCGAACAACAACACACAACTAATCCAAACAAACACAGGGAACTTATAGGACACGTAATAATCACAAATCAGACACAGGTGCTAAAGACAGACAAAAGCAATCGCACATGGAAATAGTCCAACGATGGCAGCTAGTACTCCGGGGACGGCGAACGCCTTTGCCTGCCCGAACCAGGAGGAGGAGCAGTCTCGGCCGAAACCGTGACAGTACCCCCCCCCTTGACGCGCGGCTCCAGCCGTGCGCCGACCCCGGCCTTGGGGACGGCCAGGAGGACGCGGACCCGGGCGCGTGGGATGCCCATGATGGAATTCTGTCAGGAGGGATGGATCGAGGATGTCCCTCCTGGGCACCCAGCACCGTTCCTCCGGACCGTACCCCTCCCACTCCACGAGATATTGGAGACCACTCCTCCGGCGCCTGGAGTCCAAGATGGTCCGGACCCTGTACGCCGGAGCCCCCTCGATGTCCAAAGGGGGCGGAGGGGTCTCTCCTATCTCCTCCTCTTGGAGTGGGCCAGCTACCACCGGCCTGAGAAGAGACACATGGAACGAGGGGTTAATATTTTTATACTCTATAGGTAGTTGTAACCTGTAACACACCTCGTTCAATCTTCTCAGGACTTTGAAGGGCCCCACAAACCGCCGACCCAGCTTCCGGCAGGGCAGGCGGAGGGGCAGGTTTCGAGTCGAGAGCCAGACTCGATCTCCCGGTGCGTACACCGGCCCCTCACTGCGGTGGCGATCGGCGCTCGCCTTGTGTTGACGGATGGCACGCTGCAGATGGACATGGGCAGCGTCCCACGTCTCCTCCGAGCGCCGAATCCACTCGTCCACCGCAGGGGCCTCGGTCTGGCTCTCGTGCCACGGTGCCAGGACCGGCTGATACCCTAAAATACACTGGAAAGGTGTTAATCCGGTGGAGGAGTGGCGGAGAGAGTTCTGGGCCATCTCTGCCCAGGGGATATACCTCGACCACTCCTCCGGCCGGTCCCGGCAATAGGACCTCAAAAACCTACCCACATCCTGGTTCACACGTTCAACCTGCCCATTGCTCTCTGGGTGGTACCCCGAGGTAAGGCTAACCGAGACCCCCAGGCGTTCCATGAAAGCCCCCCAGACTCTGGAGGTGAACTGGGGACCTCGGTCGGACACAATATCCTCGGGGACCCCATAGTGCCGGAACACGTGGGTAAAGATGGCCTCGGCGGTCTGTAGGGCAGTAGGGAGACCCGGCAGTGGGAGGAGACGACAGGCCTTAGAAAACCGATCCACAACGACCAAAATGGTGGTATTACCCTGGGAAGGGGGTAGATCGGTCACAAAATCTACCGAGAGGTGGGACCATGGTCGTTGTGGAACGGGCAGAGGATGTAACTTACCTCTGGGCAAATGTCTAGGTGCCTTACACTGGGCACATACCGAGCAGGAGGAGACATAAACCCTCACATCCCTGGCTAACGTTGGCCACCAGTATTTTACGCTAAGGCAGTGCACCGTCCGACCAATACCAGGATGTCCAGAGGAGGGTGATGTATGAGCCCAAGAAATAAGCCGATCACGAACCTCGAGCGGAACGTACGTCCGCCCCACAGGACACTCGGGGGGAGTAGGGTCGGTACGCAGCGCCCGCTCGATTTCCGCATCGACCTCCCATACTACCGGAGCCACCAGACAAGACTCCGGCAGTATGGAAGTAGGCTCAATGGACCTCTCCTCCGTGTCATACTGTCGGGACAGGGCGTCTGCCTTACCGTTCTGGGACCCAGGGATGTATGTGATTTTAAAAACAAACCGGGTCAGGAACATGTTCCACCTGGCCTGACGAGGGTTCAATCTCCTAGCTGCCCGGATGTACTCCAGGTTACGGTGATCAGTCAGAATGAGGAAAGGGTGTTGAGCCCCCTCTAGCCAATGCCTCCACACCTTTAGGGCCTGGACTACAGCTAACAGTTCCCTGTCCCCAACGTCATAATTGCGCTCCGCCGGGCTGAGCTTCTTAGAGTAGAACGCACAGGGGCGGAGCTTAGGTGGCGTGCCGGACCGTTGTGACAGGACTGCCCCAATACCGGTCTCGGACGCGTCCACCTCTACTTGGAAAGGCAAAGAGGGATCCGGATGCGCCAGCACCGGGGCCGAGGCGAACAGGTTCTTCAGCTTGACAAATGCCCTGTCCGCCTCAGCTGACCACTGCAAGCGCACCGGACCCCCCTTTAGCAGGGACGTAATGGGAACTGCAACCTGTCCAAAGCCCCGGATAAACCTCCGGTAGTAATTAGCAAAACCCAAGAACCGCTGCACCTCTTTTACGGTGGTTGGAGTTTGCCAATTACGCACAGCCGATACCCGATCTACCTCTATCTCCACGCCAGACGCGGACAACCGATAACCCAAAAAGGAGACGGACTCCTGGAAGAACAGGCATTTCTCTGCCTTGACATACAAGTCATGCTCCAACAGTCGTCTCAATACTCGGCGCACCTGGGCTACATGCTCGGCTCGTGTAGAAGAGTACACTAGAATGTCGTCAATGTACACCACTACACCCTGCCCATGCATGTCCCGGAAAATCTCATCAACAAAGGATTGGAAGACTGAAGGAGCATTCATTAACCCGTACGGCATGACGAGATACTCGTAATGACCCGAGGTGGTGCTAAATGCTGTTTTCCATTCATCCCCCCCCTTAATGCGCACCAAATTGTACGCGCTCCTGAGATCTAACTTTGTGAAGAATCGCGCTCCGCGTAATGACTCCGTCATCGTCGCAATCAGTGGAAGTGGGTAGCTGTATTTTACTGTGATCTGATTGAGACTACGGTAATCAATACACGGGCGCAATCCCCCGTCCTTCTTCTTCACAAAGAAGAAACTCGAGGAGACCGGAGAAGTAGAGGGCCGTATGTATCCCTGTGCCAAGGACTCGGCTATGTAAGTCTCCATAGCCGCAGTCTCCTCTTGAGACAGGGGATACACATGACTCCTGGGAAGAGCTGCTCCATTCTGGATATTTATCGCACAGTCCCCCTGTCTATGAGGAGGTAGCCTAGCTGCCCTCGATTTACTAAATACTAGTGCTAAATCCTCATACTCGGGGGGAATGCGCAGTGCGGGCACTTGGTTCGGACTCTCTACCGAGGTCGCCCCTAAGGAAACACCTAGACATCTCCCTACACACTGGGCAGACCACTCCATAAGAGCCCTCTGTTGCCACGCTATGGTAGGATCGTGGGTACTTAACCAGGGAAGCCCCAACACCACTGGGTACGCAGGAGAGTCAATCAGATAGAACTGAATGATTTCCTCATGACCCCCCTGCGTCGTCATCGTCAGCGGTGCTGTGACATCCCTGATCAGACCCGACCCCAACGGCCGGCTGTCTAATGCATGGACAGGGAATGGAACTTCTACCGGCCGAAGGGGAATTCCTAACCTAGCACAAAATGCCCGATCAATAAAGTTCCCAGCTGCGCCTGAATCTACTAGCGCCTTATGCTGGGAATGAGGTGCCACCTGTGGAAAACGCACAGGAATACTCATGTGACCAACAGAGAGCTCTGGGTAAGTGGGGCGCCTTCTCACCTGAAATGACTCCCCAGTGCGTGACCTGTTGTCCCCTCTCTCAGAAAACCTTCCCCAGCACCTGGCCGCGGTGTGTCCTCCACGGCCGCAGTTGGTGCAGGAGTTGGCTTTCCTCGGGTTCTCCCTCCTCCTCCTCTCTCTAGCGCCAGCACCCCCGAGCTCCATAGGAGTAGGCTCGGAGGTGCTGGAGGATGGAATGGACGACCCCCACTCGGGACGTCCGCGGGTAGCCAGCAGGGTGTCGAGACTGATGGAGATGTCCACCAGCCGGTCGAACGACAGGTTGGTGTCCCTGCAGGCCATCTCACAACGAACGTCCTCTCGTAGGCTACACCGATAGTGGTCAATGAGGGCCCTCTCATTCCATCCCGCATCCGCTGCTAGTGTCCGGAACTCCAGTGCGAACTCCTGTGCGCTCCTCTTCCCCTGTCGGAGGTGGAATAGACGCTCTCCCGCCGCTTTCCCCTCAGGTGGATGGTCGAAGACAGTCCTGAAGCGGCGGGAAAACTCCGCGTAGGTGATGGTGGCGGCGTCTATTCCCCTCCATTCGGCGTTGGCCCACTCCAACGCCTTCCCGGAGAGACAGGAGATGAGGGCGGAGACGCTCTCGTATCCCGAGGGCGCCGGGTGTATGGTGGCAAGGTAAAGTTCTACCTGTAGGAGAAAGCCCTGACACCCGGCTGCAGAACCGTCATATGCCCTCGGGAGCGAGAGCCGAATGCCACTGGGTTCCGGTGCTGAGAGAGGAGGACTGGCCGTTGGTGCTGGGATGGTGTGAGAAGACGTGGGCACCTCCCGATTCATCAACCGGCGCAGGCTGTTGGACGCCTCGTCCATGACGACCCCGAGTTGCCGGATCATAGCGTCCTGGTAATTTATCCGGTCCTC